TATGCTACCATGTAGTAGTAAATTGGCGCGATCCAGTCAATTGGTTCATATTTCCGGTTTGGCGACCTCCCCCCATTGCCAGAAGAGATGAGCAGTGAACCCGCGCGTGTGCAAACGCGTTTGACGAAGGAGAGCGGACCCAAGGTGACGGGTGCCGCGAGTGAGTCGAAGATCGGCGGTCCGTTCACTCTGACGCCCAATCCTCCCTTCGTGGCGGCTCGTGTGGCCGTGTACGACCGCATTATGGCGGAGCAGAAGAAGCAGCAGGAGGAGCTGGCTGCTAAGCAAAACCCCATCAAGATTACGCTACCCGACGGCGCGGTGAAGGAGGGTATAGCCTGGCAGACGACGCCGCTGGACGTGGCACTCGGGATATCGCAGGGCTTGGCTGACCAGGTCGTCGTGGCTCGCGTCACCTACCGTGGCAAGCCTGAGGACCCATTCAGCGTCACGGCCGCTGACGTGGACGGTAACGAGGCCAGCGACAAGGCTGGCGAATCCTGCTGCGGTGCCGTGGCTGACTCTAGCGAGCTCTGGGACGTTTTCCGCCCCCTTATCGGCGACTGCAGACTGGAGCTGCTGAAGTTCAACGACGCGGAAGGCCGCATGGTGTTCTGGCACTCGAGTGCCCACATTCTAGGCGAGAGTTTGGAGACAATCAAGGGCGCACACTTGACGATTGGCCCCCCTGTAGAGGGAGGCTTTTACTATGACTCGTACATGGGAACGGAGACGATCCCTGAGAGCGACTTGAGCGTCATCGAAAAGGCCTGCCAGAAGGTCGTTAAGGACAAGCAGAAATTCGAGCGTATCGTGCTCAGCAAGGAGGAGGCACTCGAGATGTTCGCTGACAACGTCTTCAAGACGCAGATCATTTCCACCAAGATCCCTGATGGAGGCAAGACCACGGCCTATCGTTGCGGGCCCCTTATCGACCTGTGCCGTGGGCCACACGTGCCTCATACGGGCAAGATCAAGGCTCTGGCAGTCACGCGTACGTCGAGCTCGCACTGGCTGGGCAAGACCACGAACGACGCTCTGCAGCGTGTGTATGGCATCTCGTTCCCAGACAAGAACAAAATGAAGGAGTGGAAGCACTTCCAGGCTGAAGCTGCTAAGCGTGATCACCGTCGTCTCGGTGTGAGTGAAGAGCTCTTTTTCTTCCACTCTCTGAGTCCTGGCAGCGGTTTCTGGCTGCCTCACGGTTCAGCCATCTACTTCAAGCTGCTGAAGTTCATTCGGGAGCAGTACCGTGCACGCGGATATACGGAGATCATCACTCCTAACATCTACAACATGGAGCTGTGGAACATATCGGGTCACGCGCAGCACTACAAGGAGAACATGTTCGTATTTGACGTCGAAGGTCAGGAGTACGCACTCAAGCCCATGAACTGTCCGGCTGCGTCGCTGATGTTCGACTTCCGTCAACGATCGTATCGTGAGCTTCCTATTCGTCTCGCCGACTGTGGTGTACTACACCGCAACGAGTTGAGTGGTGCTTTAACGGGTCTGACACGTGTGCGTCGCTTCCAGCAGGATGATGCCCACATTTTCTGCCGTGACGACCAGATCAAGAAAGAGGTTCTGGACTTTCTCACCTTCATGAAGTATGTGTACGACGTGTTCGGTATTGAGTTTAACTTGGAGCTGTCGACTCGACCTGAGAAGGCTATGGGCGAGCTGGAGCAGTGGGAACGTGCTGAGACGCAGCTGGCTCAGGCTCTGGACGAGTTTGTGGGTGCTGGCAAGTGGGTGGTGAACCCGGGTGATGGTGCTTTCTACGGTCCCAAGATCGACATTATGATTACGGACGCCCTGAAGCGTCAGCATCAATGTGCTACCGTGCAGCTCGACTTCCAGCTGCCGATCCGCTTCAACCTGAAGTACCGTACGGATGACGCCGAGAACTTCAAGCGCCCGGTGATCATCCACCGCGCTATCTACGGATCGCTGGAGCGATTTGTGGCCGTGTTGGTGGAGCACTACGCTGGCAAGTTCCCGTTCTGGCTGTCGCCGCGTCAGATCCTCATCGTGACGGTGGGCGCTGCCTTCGTGGACTACGGCTACGAGGTCAAGGACGCTCTGTTCCGCGCTGGCTTTGATGTGGAAATTGATGACTCGGGCAAGACGCTGAACAAGAAGATCCGTGAAGGTCAGATGGCTCACTACAATTTCATCCTGGTGGTGGGCGCGCACGAGAAGGAGACGCGCTCGGTCAACATCCGTACGCGCGACAACAAGGTCAGGGGTACCAAGACGCTCGAGGAAGCAATTTCCATGTTCAAGGACCTGGAGGTAACGAAGGCGGCTGATGAGTAAGCCGAGCGCGTGATGGCTCGGAGGTAGTTTCTCTCAGCACTTGGCGTTGATTTTGCATTTGCTAGCCTTAGTTTATGGGGAAAATGTCACCGTTCTGACTGAAGGTGTACGTGAGCCCGGCTACCAACATTAGATGGTCACTACTGACGTGTGTGCAAGCCTCGGACGAACACAGTGGGAGCACTGCTGCACAGGGTACAAAAAACCTCATTCTGAAATTGTTGACGTGTCCGCACCCTGTATTCTCTCTCTGAGCTTCTGAGTGGTAGAAATAGACTTTTTCGTGATAGGTCAATACTCAGTTGAAATATAACCGGTGCCATCTTGTAGCGTTATGGCCCTAACTCGAGCCCAAGCTGCTGCGGCTGCATCAGGTCAAGTGAGGTGACAGACGTCGAAACTGCGATGGTGGAGCACGTGGGGACAGACCTGGCATCTTCATCGGCTTTACCGCTCGCTCCCAGCGTTGCTGATCATCTGGTAAGTCTCGCCCAGCACTTCATACCTCAAACCCAGACCCTTGCTGTTGAGCACGTAGCATTGCAGCAGCAGCAACAAGGGTCCAGTCACGCCCAAAATGCAGCATTGGTGGCGATACAGGTCTCGACAGAGGCCAATTTGAGGCAGCTCACTGATCAACGACGCGCAATTGTCGAAAGACTAGGTGAAGCCCTGACAGCAACGCAATCAAATCTCCAAGATCAGCTCCATCATCTACAAACGGCTCAAGACGAGCGAGGAGGACAAATAGAGCAGTTCGTGAATGACAGAGTTGCTCACGCACTGCAAGAAGTACAGAAGGAATCACAAAGAGAAGCTTCGTCTCAGATCCAGGGAGTACACAAAATGCTTGAAGAGATCGAAGCCAAAGCTAACAGTGGCCTTGAGAACCTATCCCAGTACGTTCAACAGCTCGTTGAAGACAAAGTTACAGCATCTCGCCTCAGTGATGCCCCCGACGACCGGACAATACTGCTCATACAGAAAGAAGTAGAGGCTGCTACCTCGAGCATTGCGTCTTCCATAAAGACATAGCTGTAGCTAAATCTACATACAGTGTGCGACACTATACGACAAAAATTACTGGTACCAGTCGACAGTGCTGAGGAGCCACGCCGTGAAGCTTTAAGGGCCCTGGTCATGGAAATAACAACGGACGCGGAGCGCCGATTAGAGGCTCGGATGCAGCGAGCTCTTACAAACACGCAATCTGAATTGAATCTGCAACTTCAGCGCCAAGCGGACGCGACATCGGCACTGTGTGAGCAAGTTCGAAAACTAAGTGTTCGGTCAAAGCGACAAGTCCAACAAAATGACGAAAGCGTTTCAAAAAGTACCATTACAGATCTTGTTCAAAAAGCAGTCGACCAGCGCATTAAAGCTCAACATGAGAATGAGCTCTGTCGATCTGATGCCAGCTATCATCTTCAACAAGAATTACATACGCAAGGCTGACGAATTAGATGATGATACACCTGCTACTGACGAAGATTTCGAACTTGAGAAGAGGATGCAAGAAGCCTGGTGGAGATCGTACATACAAACATTCCGTCTGTACCAGCCGATTCGCCTTCAACCAAAGGCGGCGATGTACCTGACGTTGTAGAGGAGAAGGCACCGACGGCGTCGCCGGAGAGAGATCGCTCAAGCACGATTGAGGGGGAGACTAAGGAAACTTCACCGCCGCTGGCAGAACTGCCGCAGTTGCAGGGGGGCTTTAGCAGTCGCCGCCGCCCCCAAATACCGCGGTGCTACAGTGAATTGGATCAGATTCGCATGGCCAGCGGCTCTCTCGCCGCTCGTTGCACCAACAGCTTCTGCTGGCGCAGCCACAGTAGCCTCCGAATGCCGGGATACTGCAGAGAACCCAAACGGATACACATGCCCAACGGCTATCACGCTGCTCCCAGCGATAGTCGCGGAACACGAGAGCTTGACTTCAGGGTTATTGTGTCCGAGGCTCAGCTCCAAGTCCAGGAGAGAGCGGAGCTGGCTGCACAGCGCTATCAGTCAAACCGTAGCTATGAAAAATGATGTTGTGGAAATACTGGAAGATGTGCGAAAGCTAGGATGCAGAGAAAAAAAAGATGAAGAGGGGTTATATTCTACCAATACATGTTGCTGAAACAGATGCGTTAACACGTTGTATACACACGGAGAGCGAACAAATTACGGATGCTCATATTTACAATGCAGATTTCTCTTCTGTTTCTTCTTCTTCTCCTAGTGTTGTGCTAGAAACGAAGCTGGCTAAAATATCACTCGTCAGGTCGTTCATCTCGTAATCCAGGTCCGAGTCCAATGGAAATACAAAGCTGGACGGTGTGTGTAAATGATGTTGGCCCTTTGGAATTTCCTCATATTCAAGTATGTGACGGGGTCACACAGCACCTTGCGCTAGAGGAAGTTATCTTCCGAGAGTATACAAACTCTCAGTGAACGGCAGTTCACAGGTCCCCTCTTTAATTAAAGAGAGCGAAGTGACCTAAATAAGGTAGATTGTAAACTGAGTATATTTATAGGTAGGTTAAGTTTGGGTTTATTAATAATACAAACTATTAGTTACCTATAGAAATGCAATGTCATTTAGCCAATGGTTGGCTTTGAACGACCTTGGTGCCTTGTACCAAATATCCCGGAGTATGACGTGTCATAGTCCTGGAGTGTGAAGTGTCACACTTCATGTAGCCAGGGTACACTTAGGGCTACGTACCCCGTTACATCCTCCCCCACTTAGGTTCGGTTTACCGACCAATCAGAATGAAGAGGTGCTCGTCACAAACTCTCATTCTCAAAGTCGAAAACCATCGACTTGGCCGCGCGAGCGCGGCGGAGGCTCACTTCACAGTTAGAGCCTCGAGCAGCAACCTGTGCGCTCTTCGTCTAGGTCTCCACTTCGACCGTTATCATGCCTCGTGGCACTGCAAAGAGCGGTGCTAAGACACGCTCCAAGGCTGCTGCCGGTAAGGCGCAAGCCAAGAGCACTAAGCCTCACGGCAAAGGCTCTGCACTTAAGGAGGCTACTCAGGTGGCCTCCGAGGCGATCGGATCCTCGGGTGACGCGGCTGTGGACAAGCGCGCAAGCAGGCGCCGCAGTCCGTCGCCCTCGTCTTCAGACAATCGTCCGAACCCTCGGTTCGTAGAACGTGAGCTCAACTCGGGCAGTGAAGACGATGCCGAGTCCGAGAGCACTCATGATGCTCCTGCGGGCTCTGTGGGAGGGCACAGCCCAGTGCCCAGTGAGCACAAAGATGACACCGTGCAGTCGCCCGCAAGTGATCACGGTGATCACAGTCCCAGGACCTCTGTGCGCTCTGAGAGTCCGGCCGTTAAGGCTAAGGGCGTTCCCAAAGCCGGTGGCGATGAGGAAGAGAATCCTCGCAAACGTCTCTCGCTTGCCGAGGGTCTTGCGCGCGCTAAGGCCTCTAAAGCCGAAGGCGCCAAGCCCTCAAAGAAGCGTACCGCCTCTAAGGCTCCACTCCGCGAGGAGAAGGAGACTCGACGCTCCTATCAGAGTCTCTTCGGCTCCTCCGATGAAGAGGAGGAGAAGGACGAAGTAGAGGAGGAGGAGGGTGCTATCGTTGAGCCCCGGGAGGTCTCGAATGACCTCGACCAGCAGCAGGAGGGTTTCCAAGCTGTCCAGCGTGTGCGTGGGGGTTCGGTGGCGGCACCCGTCAGCCAGGGAGCTGCCATCAACTCAAGAGGGTATTGGCCTCCCGAGGAGAGCTCTGGGGCTGACCTCTTCTTGGCGGTTCTCGTCGCTCCTCGTGGCCTTCTGGGCGGCCACACTTCGAGGGGCATCTATGAACGAGCCCTTGTTCAGAAAGAACAGTTGTTCGTCGACAACTTGGAGGCTGCTCGGTGTGTGCTTCTCGCGCCACACCGCATTCCCCTTAAGGACTTCACGACTTGTCGTAAGAAGCCCGAGACCCGGGGTGGTCTCTATCCTGTTTGGGGATACCCCTGGGTTATGCCCGAGAACTGTCCCACGTGGAGTTCTTGTGAGGACATGTTCTGGGCGTGGGTGGAGACTCTCAAGTACTCGCCCACGGAGTTATGGGAACTCCATGAAGATCAGCAGCTGTCCCACATCCTGAACCAGCGTGATCTTCGTGTGAGGTTTGCCCACTTGAGCAGCAAACGTATGCTGCCAAGGGACATCCTGAAGCGCGCGGCTTCTAGCGCTCACGATGAGCGCGGGTACGGTATGTATTCATCGACCGTACCCCGTTCGGGCAAAAAGCCCCGGACTACTTATGAAGCTGCCGCCGCTTCTGTTCCCAGATTGCGACAGCCTTCGGGCAGTCAATCAGGAGCCGTTCAATCGGCTCCCACGAGTTCTCGGAGTGGGCATAATCCCTCCACTTCACGAGGAGCTGTCGCTTGCCGCGACACCGTTGCTCCTGGAGGATCCGCTCCACGTGGAAGTGGACTTCTCCATTCCGGTCAAGCAGGGGCAGAGGTGCCCTCGTACGAGTACGAGTACTCGGCGCCTCCCGAGAGCCACTCTCGTCCGAGTGCTCCGACTGCGGGTCCGACACGGGACCCTGAGGTTGACCGTCTCCGTCAACGTATCCTCGTGCTTGAGATTGCACTTGGCCTTGGGACTGGCGGTAATGCTGCCGCCCAGGCCGGGAATCAGGGCGAGCTCGCTCGTCTTGCGGGTCGCCTGGACCTGGTGGAGCGAGAGGTCGCGAGTGCACCTGCGAGTGGATCGCCGGGCCTCTTCGTCCGATCTGGACGAGGCCTTTCGCATGATCCGACGGATCGAGGCTTTGTTGCCACGTCCGGAGCCGCCTGCGGCACACTCCCAGACGTACGCGTATGGTGCGTACCCGGCGTACTCAGCGTACTCGGCGTATGGCGCCGGGGTCGTTCGTATGGAGCCCCTCCGGCGTACGGTCTTGACCGCAGCCTTGCCGTCCCGACCGAGGCTTGGGTGCCTGCTCCGACGCCCTCGTCGACGACTGTGACCGGCCCTCGCTTCGAGGAGCTGGGGC